CTAAAGGGAATGGTGCAGATGTGATGACGTTGATCAGCACGAAGCCAGTCACCATGAGGGCCTTGAACTTGGGAACGTTGCTGCCCTTCATCTGCTTGCCGAACAGCGAGGTGTCCTTGGCGGCCTTGTCGTCACTGCCGGGCCAGTCGTTGCCGCTGGCAACATTCTCGGCCACGCGGCGGCTGACGCCGTCGTCCTCGAGAGCCCGGCGCATCTGCACGTGGCGCTTGATGCGGTTAATCTCGAGCTTGATGCTGAGAATGGCGGTGTAGAAGGAGAAGAGCAGGATGCAGTCGAAGAACAGGATCCATGCGGCGAGGAAGCAGAACTGCTGGAGACCCCCCTGGACACCAGAGGCCGCGCCAAGGATGAGGACACCAATCTCGACAGCGTAGTCGCGAACAATCTCGTAGCCGTTTTCCTTGATGGCGGCCTGCACAGCGTACTGGATGACGTTGGACGACGAGACCTCCCAAGCCTTCTTCTTGGACTTCTTGTCGTCCTTATCCTGGGGACGGCGGTGCTCAATGGCGTGGGACAGGACGGCACGGGTCAGGACAATGTTCTTCTCGAAGCCAATGGTGACGACCAGGAAGGGCAGACCCTCGGACAGCAAGACCATGGAGATGGGCACCCCGAGCTTGGTCGTCACGATGAGGCCGAAGAGGAAGGCGAAGACGGACGAGAAGAGAACGTTGGTAAAGAGCCAAAAGTTGGAACCCATCCGGCGCATGGAGAGGAACAGCGACACAAAGGTCAGATGCATGGACAGGTACCCAAGCACCATGATGACAATGTCGAGAGTCTCGGCGTTCTTGAGCAGGTCGAGGAACTCGGTCCAGCCGTTGGTGACCCAGCGGATGTAGCTGTTTTTGGTGTTGACCCTGGCCGCCTTCATGATCCACATCTTGGACTCGTGGCCGTGCTGCGTCTCGCGCGACTCGTTGTTGGCATCGTCAGGGATCTCCTGGACGGAGGCGAGGAACTCGGGCGCTTGGTCGTAGGGCAGAGAGAAGGCCAGGGCGCTGTCCTGAGAATAGGCGGTCAGGGAGTTGGAAGTCTGGGGCAGCGGGGTGACGGAGAGGTTCTGCGGGAAGGGGACGGCGTGGGCCCTCGGCGCGGTGTTTGCACTTTCGGCCGAGTGCGATTCAGGGAAGACCAGCGTCAGGAGGGCGAGGTGCTCGACATGGCTGGCGGGCACGACATCCTGGTCGACGTTCTGCCACTTCCAGTTGGTCTCGGGGCTAACCTGCAGGCGACGGCTGCCTTCGGTCAGGGAGGACCAGTCGGCCTTGCGCACCGAGGTGGCGGCATCGAAGAGGCTCTCCTGGAGGAGCCCCACGTACGAGGAGCTCGCCAGAACAGCAACGATGACAACGGTGTGGATGGGGTGGGAGCAGGCGAGGGAGGAGAAGAATTGCAGGATGGGCGTGGACTTTTTGCTGATCCAAGAGGGCGCGGCCGGTTGCGCCTGGGGCTGCTCGCCGCGGAAACGGCGAGGGAAGAGGACGGACGAGATCATGGCGACGGTATCGGAGAGGTGGACTCGGAGGTCACGACGACATTGGGGGGATCTCGGAGATCGGGTGGTAGGTTCGGACTCGGACTCGGATCGGCGGCGTCGGTGGAACCTGTGATTTTTCTTGTGAGCATTTGGCTTGTGACGATGCCTCGCCCGTTCGTGGTTATGATTGTGGGAAACGAATTTCTTGGGGGATGACACGCCATAATAGAGGGGAGAGGACGAGAGACACGCGCAAGACACGCTGAGGGTCAGGAGGGGCGCAACGGGCAAAAATTACAAGACAATGAGAATGCTCAAGGACGGTGAACGTACGTCGACTTCGCCTTCACAAGTCAGCTAGACCCAATGATGTTGCTGCTTCGTACTCCGATTTGTGTGCGTGTTGCCGTTCGATCAACTTTGCGGCTCGGTATTGGCCGTTCTGCTCGTTCGTCGGGTGGGCGAAGAGGCGGTGGACAGTCGACAGTGGGACAAGACGGCCGACGGCGTGGTTCAGCGCAATGTTGAAAGCGCAATTGAAGCCGAACGAGCGGTGATGGCTCGTACCTAGCAACAGCGAGACGTGTTGAAGAGGGACTCGAGGAGAAGGAGGAGGGAGAGGATCGCAAGGTCGACCGAGCGGGCGGGGAGGGGATGAAAGGCAAACGGGGAACAGACCAAAGCAAGGGGAGATACAGACAAGGCAAAGTAAGTAAGGTAGTCCCTGTAAGGGGTTTGGTGATTTGATAGTGGCCTCGACGGACTGGGGGGGTGGGAGCCAAGGGGGAGCCACCAAAAGGTTGCTGCTCCTGGGCTGGTGGATGCAACTTCATGGGAGAAAAAACTAGGAGTGGGAGATTGTGGTGCCTGGCGGTTTTCGGTACGTATCGCCGAAGCTTGTTACGGTGGGATGCTCCACAGCTGAAATGAGCCTGATGGGGATTCTTGATTGGCTGAAGTCCTGGGTTACGGTGGGCAAGTCGACGTCGTGTGGCTGACGGTACGCGTTATCTTATCGAGGCGCAGGTTTGTCGTCATGTCATTCTCCCCATTCGGTGTGCCATCAGCCATTGTGCATTGGCGATCAGGGCTGCTCTCCACTGCGAATGATTTCTTTCAGGGGCTGAGTGGACGGGCGTCCACCATGTCAGGTACTACTGTACTACTACTGTACCCTGTGCACGCAGAAGCCCAACTGAAGGGAGCACAACGCCTGCCAACGCCTGCCAGCGCCTGCCAGCGCCTGCCAACGGCTTTGTGTGGCGTGGAGACAATGTGTCGTGCGAGGCTCAGCAACATTGTTCTGCTCAAAGGACGATGCAAACCCAAACCTACACTCCGAAGATTGAAGAGCACCCTATCCCTCAAAGACGACACCACAGCATTCATTCCCCGAAGGATTGATGATATGATTGTGACGGACTGGCGGGACCTTGGAATTGTCCGTGCCGTTCGTCGATCACACCGCCAGGAGAGACTTGCGGTGGAGCCCAACCGTTTCGACCCTCTTGCCTCAGTATTGCTTCACTGCAGTACACCCATCCCCCTTTGCCAGCCCCAGTGTTAACCGTCTGCACGATCCGTTTAGCTTTTCATCTCATCTCGACCTTATTGCCTCACATTTGGCAACATTTCTGTGTCACAAGATACGCTACCTCAGTAAGAACCTTGGTGAGATGCAATGAGTATACAAGCTGTGAGATCTGTAAACCCCCTGGCGATCCATGCCGGGCCATGTCGCTCCAGTTCCACAACAGGTGACACGATATACCGTAGTCCGTTGGATGCAGTGCTGGTGTACCACGTAATGCAGGGTCGCGTCAAGTCAAGCGAGTCGGCAGCTGTAATGACTTGTTACCAGATGATCGTGTTCCGATTAGCTAAGCATCACTTCTTACTTCCCTTCTCCAGATGTTCTCGAGCGACGTGCCCGAGAACCGTAGGCAAAGAATCCACAAACCTCGCCAACCTCGTGTCTTTCAGCCATATGGCATATGGCATATGGCACGCTGATTCCGTTCCCCTCCTCCGGGGGATCCACGCCCTTACGCATCCCGCACCCGCCGAACTTCTGCCCCCTCCACGCTCACGACACGGACGCCGCCCGCCTCGAGCTCGTCCTTGCATGCCTCCCACTTGTCGGGTTCGACGCAGCGCGTGCCCTCCTCGACAACGCACGTCCGAAAGCCCTCGCGCGCGGCATCCACAGCCGTGCACTTGACGCAGTAATCTCCCGCCAGCCCGACGACGAAGACGTCAGTCACGCCCTGCCCCCGCAGCGTCTCGGCGAGACCGCTGTCAACGACGCCGTAGGGGTCGCGGAAGGCGCTGTACATCTCGACGTCGCGCACGTGGCCCTTTTCGATGGTCGCCGTCAGGCGGTGGGCTTCGAGCTCGGGAACGAGGCTGGCGCCGGAGGTGTTCTGGACGCAGTGGACGGGCCAGAGGCGGGAGGCGTATGATTCCGACGGGTTGGCGGGGTTCGTGATTGTCGTCGTCGAGGTGAAGGGCGAGGCGTCTGCGTGATTCGAGGCAAAGGAGATGTGGTCGGCTGGGTGCCAGTCCTTGGTGGCAATTTTGGCGACAAAGGGCAAGCTGAGGAGACTGTTGACGATGGGAGTAATGTCGCGGCCGTCGGCGACTGCAAGTGAGCCATGCTGTGGGGGGAGACGTCAGTGCTATCATGCCCATGATGCTGATTATGCGCCATCCGTGGATGACCTGCCATGGCCCTTTGCGTATGGGTGAGAGCACTGAGGTCATGGTCAGCTTACGGGTGGGCAGAAATCTTCCTGAAAGTCGACCACAATGAGGGCCGGTTGAAACTTGTCGCCCATTGCGGTGATGATGGCCTGGCCCAGGGTCAAGGTGAGTGATGTTGATGAGATGGAGATTGGCAATGAGTCTACATCATCGCCTGCTGATGAGGCTCCCTCGCATTTGCCCAGATGCCTTCAAGTGGGGCAACTGCTCGTCTTTGGTCTTTCGTCTGCCCGCGGCACCCTAACACTTGGCCTTCTTGACTTGCACGACGGAGGTCAGAATGAGAAGGTCATCTGCAGGTGATGATACTGTCCACACCGCCTTACGGCTGACCCTCTGAAACTGAACTGATCATGACGACGACTTCCACCCCATCGACGCATCATCAACAGGCCGAGAGTGTGCCAGCTGAGAGAACGTATCGGGCTGTCACCATCTGGCAGTATACGCCCCACTTCCCCTGTCCCAATCGGGCACTCACTGCTCCCCTATGCCTTCCTCGAGGTGTCCATCACGAATCCTGCAAACCACAACCGCCAACAAAGTTCTTTGATCTCTCTCCTCTTCAACCCCTCACCCGCTGATCATCATGCTTCCCCGCGGTCTCAAATCCTTCATACTGCTCGTCGTTTTGCTGCTCATTTCTCTCGGTGTCTATCTCAGTCCCTTGCGAGTTCACGTACCCTACGATCTCCTCCCTTCCGTCGCCATGGGTCCCATCACGCACCTCGTTCTGTTCCAGTTCAAGGAGGATGCCTCCTCTTCGGCTGTCAGAGACGTAAGTGTATCATTTTTTTGCCTTTGAGCTCAGCTTCTGACATGACAAGGCCACTGCGAGGATGCTACAGCTGAAGGACAACTGCGTCCACCCCACCAGCGGCACTCCCTACATCGTGTCCGTCAAGGGGGGCAAGGACAACTCGCCTGAAGGTCTCCAAGGCGGCATCACCCACGCCTTTGTCGTCGAGTTTTCCAGCGCGTCTGATCGTGACTACTACGTCAAGGAGGATCCTGTGCACATGGCTTTTGTCAAGAGCATTGAGGGGCTCGTCACCAAGGCCGTTGTTGTCGACTTTGCCGACGGCATCTACTGAAGCAGGGCCGTCGAGGAATGCAATTTTCATATCACACCAACAGACTTCTGCTAGCACCCACAGGCGAATCAACAAAAGGAAAACATGTTCTCATTCCGCTCCTCAGGTGCTTGGCCCTTACTCGCCAGCTAGCTTCTCGTCCCGTCCCTGATGCAACGTCGTCGTCACGCGGTCGGTCAAATGTTTATCCACGTTGGGCATCAGCAGCGCGCAGATGATGGCCACCCCTGAAAAGGCAATGTTTGTGAAGAACACGGTCCGGTACGCATCCGCATTCGCCTGCTTGTATGCTGCCGTCCCTACTGCCAACACATTTTGCGTCAAGCCAGCGACGCCCTCGAAAGACCCCGTCGTGAAACCAGCCAGGAAATCAGCCACGCTCGATGCCGGCAGACCGGCGGCTATCACGGCCGGCGGCACCTGCGCCGGGATCTCCCGCGCCAGGCGGTTCGAGAGCACAACGTTGTACACAGACGCGGCAATGCTGCTGATGAGGAAGCGGATGCTGCCGGCGATGCCACTGGCGCTGCCGAGGTGTGCCTGGTCGGGCGCGCACAGCGTCACGATCGTGATGGCCGTACCCTCGGTCCACCCGATGAAGAAGACGCCCAAGGACACGAGCATCGTCGCCCGCACTGGCGTATCAGGCCCACAGCTCGCGATGGCGCCAAAGCACGCACCACCCAGAACTATGTTGACGACGCACTGCCACTTGAGGTGACCGATTTTCTTGCCGATGAACCCGCCCACAATCTGTCCCATGACGATGAACAGCGACACGCACGAGGCCAGCCATGCTGAGTAGAAAGGCGAGTCGGCCGGGTCCGTGTACAACACGGCCACCATGGACGGCCACACAATGGCAAAGGCGTAGTAGACGCTCGCGCCCAGACCAGTCAGGATGGTCGACGACACCCAGGGGCCGTGGCGGAAGTAGTGCATCGGCACAAGCGGCTCCTTGAGCTTGACGAGCGATTCCCACAGCACAAAGGCCAGCAGCGCGACGAAGCCGACGACGATGGTCCCAATGACGTGGGCAGAGTCCCACGCGTACACGACGCCGCCCCAGTTGAGGCCCATCATGAAGATGAGCAAGCCGCCCGTGTAGAGGGCTGTGCCGGCGTAATCAAAGTTCTTGATGTACGCCCACTTGGAGGCGTT